GAAGATTTACGTCCATGTTTTTGGATGGGCTGGAATTGCGTCAATTTTTGATCTCTGTCCAAATAACCATGCAGAAATACGACGCTAAGGCAAGAGTTGGAGGGCTCCCATGCTAACATAAAGCATGCTACCTTTTAATTTTGCAATCAACACAAATACCATCCTGTACCGCACAAACAGCATCAAGGGACTGAACCATCCATTACATGTTCTGCCTTGCCAAAGGAAGTGGCAGAACCGTTAGCTGAAACAGCAGGCTTACTGGCACAGTGCGCGTTTCATGGGGCTTTATAGCTGCTTTTAAAATAGTCTCCACAACTGCAGACGGTCTGTGGGCTGCATAAGTTTGGTAAAATGTTATCCTACTAGTACAGGGAATTATTGGCATGTTTTTTCCATGTGAACTGTCTCTCCACTGACTGACCCATGCAAGCAACTCAGTGAAGTAAAAATTAAAAAAAAAAAAAATCCTTGCAACCAACTGTAATTTTTTGATGACTGGTTTGGCTAAGGGATGAGCCAAACCCTGTAGCTTTGCTGGGACCCACACTGGGAAAGGTTGCAGCTCGTCTCAAAAGGACAGATTTGAACTCCAGAGAAGCAAGTTTTATTTGAAAGTTTTGGGTTGGGTTTTGCTTTTATTTATCTTCTCAAACTGGGATGGGTGAAAAGGTGGGGAAGCGCACAATGTGGGAAGCGGTGTACAGTCTTCATGTAGGATGGTGCAAGGGTGTGCTTTAAATTCATAATGTCAAAACTGTAGATGGCAGCTAGAAAAATCAAGAACAATTTCTGCTACTTGAAAGTTACAGCTCTGGGGAAAAGGATAAACAATGACTTTAGAATTTAAACTTAAGCAGCTATTACTCTAGGGCTAAAATAAGTCCAGTCTTAGGCCCTAATAGGAAAATGCACAACATCTGTGCAAAGACTGTATTTGACAGTCTTAGTTCTGGGTTTGCACCTTGCACGGTGTCCTGGTTCACAACTGGGTTTCCTAACAGTTTAAATAATTACTGATGCTAATGCAGTTTAACTAGCTGCTGAATTGCTAAGACTAGAGCTGTGTATTTCCATTCTGCTTGTAGTAATGGGACAATTTGTGTCAGTTTGCTTGTTTTTTGAGAGTCTGAGGGTCAGGTTGAATCATGTGGTATGAAAAGTTGGGCTGTCAAATGGTTATGACTCTTACTTTTTGTTTAATAAGTGAGGACTGACAGCTAGTATTTGTTTCAGTTTTAAGAACCGCCTTGCTAGTGCAAAAATGCTGGTCAAAACTGGAGCTTCTTCCTGTGACTCCTTCCTTTTTCTGCTGATAGTAATCGCAGTTTAGCATCAGAACGTGCCATACCTGGCTGTCTCGGACAGGGCTGTTGCTTCTCTGATTTCAGTGTCATGTGTTCTCTTAGTAGATGGGACGTTTCCAGAGCGTTTTCACCCTCAGTTTCCAGGCTTCTCCGAATCCTCCTTTTTCTCTTTTTGACAAAAATATTATTTTGAAAAGTTAAAAGTAATAGAATGGAAGTAAAAGTAAATTTTAAGTTCTAAAACTTAAGGAATTATCTAAAATCAAAGAAACTTCCCCAGCAAGTGATGAGGAGGCTATCGGAGCAAGGGTTCAAATGAAACACTGAGGTGGGCAGTTCTCTGCTAAAAGCAGAGGGAGAGCTCCTTGCTCTGTTTTCTGGTGAAGTTTAGCGATGCGAGAGGAGTGCTCTCTCCTACCTGGCTGTAGTGAAATCTCTTCAACCCTTGTTTAAGACTGAGTCTTCAGTGAGACCTCTGTGTCTCCTGGGAAAAGGATCTTGTCTTTCAATAGCGCTTGCATTCGTTTTGAAGAATCAGCTGCAAACGCACATTACAGCTCCATTTATTCCAGGAACAAATATTTCCAGTGCTGGTGCAACAGCCCAGGTAGCTATTCCTGTCGTTCAGCTGCGGGATCCAGACTTTAAATGACAGTACTGCTAAGAGGTTTGGGGTTTGTAGCCACATTAGGTTGTAATAACCAATGAGTTGGAGCATGTGCATTAAAGAGGATCAGCTGTCAGAGGACTAGCTGAGTTGGCTGTCATGATTCAGCCCCTCCTACTTTTGCTAATGTTCTTAATTAAAATCCTTTCTGAGTTATGTCACTGATGATGATTATAGTCCATGTTAGAGAAGCATGTACAAGCCTTGTTTAAGCTTGACGAGCAGAATGTTGTGCACGTGCGTGTGAAGAGACAATGCATGTCCCGAAGAATTTGCAGTCCAGCTGGGTGGAACAGATGAAGACCGAAAGGAAGTATCATTATCTCCGCGGCCCGGATGAGGAGCCGTGGCACGAAGATACTGATGGCTTGCCTGCAGTCGGAGGGGGAGTCTGGGAGAGGCAGGAGCTAGATCTGTGTTCTTTGAATTACGATCCTGGGATTTAGTAAAAAATACATTAAATTAAAAAAAAATCCTCTCTCAAATGGAATTTACAAGGTGTAGGAGGGTATATGGAACTTGTAATGAAAACAGAATTGTTACCTAGTACAAGTCATATTGTATGTAACCTTAGTGTATTTAAAGGAAAGACTTAAGTTATCTTACATAGTTTCAAACTTGTGACTGAAATGCTCTATAGCACTAGAAATTGCTCTCTGTGGGTGTTTTATTTCCCGTCAATCCTTGTATTGGATTCAGTTCGTTAATCAAGACACCAAACAAAATGCTTCAGTGATGGTCACCAGGGGCCTGCAGTCAGATGATGCATATCGCTCAAAGGCCTTGGAGTCTGAAATCTGTGCAGAGAGCTGCTCGGAAGGAGACCGAGTGAAACATCCCAGTTACCTCTTTTCTTTTTTAAAAGTCTTTATCTATTTTTTTCCCCTTGATCCTAAGATTGCGTTTTGCAGTATTTCTACCCCTGCTTCGAGTTGGTGGAAAATGGGGAGAAAATGTTTTCCCGGTTTCTTCCCACTCTGAAATTCCAAGTAACGTCCTGTTTTTGAAACTCTTTGCCCAGAACACGCCAGCATCCCTCTTGGCGGCTTTGTGATCACCCTGCCTGCCAGCGGCAGCAGGCCCAGCATTATCAGATGAGAGGGCTGAGGAACAGAGACTAGTCCTCTTTGAACTGCTAAGCTGGGCTCTTGGGTTATCAAAGAATAGGGTCTGGAGGCCTGCCTCTGGATCTATGCTGCAGACACAGCACAAAAAGTCTATCGTGTCTGCTTTTTCTACATCCTTGAAACATAACGGGATTGCTGCATCCCAGGAGTGGATGATGGCAGAGTCATTCCTTGACTTGTTTGTTCCCTGCACCCAAACATGTGTGCACACACTCAAAGATTTGTTTAGGTTTTTAACAATTTTGTTTTCCATGCAAGTACTATAAAAACTAAATAATGAACTCCGTAAAAGTCAACCAACTCTGGTTTCTGGAGCTAGGGACACCTCTGAGCCAAGCCACAGTGGGGTCTGTGGCAGCTGCGGCACCCGGAGCGTGCAGGTATGCCCAGCGGCTGCAGCACCCGGAGCATGCAGGTTGCCCGGCGGCCGCAGCACCAGGAGCACCAGCTGTTTTGCTGCATGGTCTCTTATGTCACAATGTCACCAGGGTGGCAGAGTGCTTCTGCTCTGCTTCCCTGGTTCCAGGGACTACTGGGACATGTGCCCTCTGGAAAGCAAATGCCTTGACTACCTGGGCAAGGCTAGGAAGACTGATATTTAAACATCCTTCTCTGTTGCAGATCTGTTTATGTTTGTATACATCTATTCTTGTAAAATTCCCCTAAATTAGGTAAGTGTTTAGTTCTTACCATCATCTAATCAGCTCCTCAAAGGGTAAGTTGATGTTCTATATTTAGTCCAGGTATTCAGCAGAGATGATTAGGGATGTATCAAGGAAGAGTTTTTTTCCTAGGGTATCTTAATGCTCCCTCTTTCTTCCTGTATTACTGCAGCTTCTGTCTTTGCTCTCTTTTGTGATAATGTTTCTCTGTGTGCAAGAAGCATATGTCAGTGAGAATATTTGTGTAGTCTTCTGAATGTATTTGAAGTAATTTGCCTCTAGAAAGTGATTGTGGTCTGTTTGCCATGAGTAGAGTAGCTGCAGTTCTGATGTGAATTGAAATATCAAATGTTTATGGAAGATGACATAGCAAAGCTGTTTACCATATGGTATATGAGACACAGTGATATGAGACAAATTTTTTTCCCTAGAGTGTGCTAGGAAAAAAATGGAACTGAAATAATGGAATTTGTGTAGTCTTCTGTATCTCAGGCATACCATTAGGAAAGTGTTCTCTTATCCAGGGATGCAATATAAATATAATATGAATTATGATTTTTATTGAGCCAGTATCTTGACACGTCCATCTGAAACTGAGGGCCCAGTCAAGTGAGCACAGTAAGAGAGAGACTGCCTTTGAGATTCACAGTGCAGATCGCTTCTAGTTAGGGTGTTGCTGGTGATATCTTCCATCTGCAGCTGATAACAACACCTTGTTTGCTTCTCTGGATCAGGATCCTAGGACAGCTGTGTTCAACTCGTGATTATTGGATTTATGGATTAACCACAGCACCAGTATGGAGACTTGTGAGCTGACTTGGTGTCAGCCAGCCTGGGTCTAGAAACAGCACTGTTAGTTTATGTGGAGCTGCATGCTGTGGATTTACTGGCTTGGATTAGCGCTTCCTTGGGAGCTTCTGCATAACATCGTCACTGTATTTCTTACACTGCTCCATGTGTTTTCTTTGCAAGAAGATGTGCTCTGAGTCAGGTGAAGCAAGAACCAGTGCTGTGAAGCTTACCAGGTCTCTGCAGGCCTTGAATTTGGGCTTTGCCGATCTACTGTCTCTTGGATCTCTTGGATTAAGATAATAGAGTTTATTACAAGAAATGAAATAGATGGAGTGAAGAGCCTGGGTCAAGACGCTTCTACTGTTTGGTAGTGTTTGAACGTGCCTACTTCAAGGAAGTTTGTATATGTATTTACACATCGTCCTCTTCCTCTCTTGTGATCTAGGTTGCATGGTTGGACCCTGGAAATGGGATGTCAGTCCCATTCGGGGAGCATAAAGGAAGAAAGAAAATCTCCTAGCTGTTGCTGTTGCTGTGACAGCGAGTGAGAGCCAGAGGCAGGAAAATGTCGACAGTCACATCAGCAATCCAGGCTCCTCAGGGCCCTGTGAATCCGCCGCCTCCCGAGGTCACTAATCCTAATAAGCCTGGCCGGAAGACCAACCAATTGCAATATATGCAAAATGTTGTGGTAAAGACCTTGTGGAAGCATCAGTTTGCTTGGCCTTTCTACCAACCTGTTGATGCAATTAAATTGAATTTACCAGTAAGTATCTGACATGTCCTGCTCTGTATTCTGTTCTTGAAAAGCTTTGTGTTAGTGGGATCAGTTTTCTGATCGTTGGATCAGAATGGTCAGGTTGCTTTTTGTGACGTCCGTGAATGCTCTCAGACCCACTGACTTTGAAAGCGATGTCTTTCAGAGCTGGAGGCCTCTGAAGGAGAGAACTGCCTCACGCTTAGGGAGGGGAGACAACAGCACCCAGGCAAGCTGCCTTACAGCAACTGAAATGTAATGCTTCGTGTGTGGCTTACCCGTGGTTACTTTTACATGCCATCACCCCTTGTCCTATCTCTGTCCAACTCGAGTGAGAGCCTTGGAGCCTGCACTATTGGGAGCCTTTAGCATTGGGCCTCAGTGTAATTTGTTTCTAATAGACTTTCCTGGCTCTTCCACTGACTTCAGTGTTGAGGAAGACAGGAGAAGCTAATTAGCAAAGATCATGCCCATACTGGAAGCAGAAGGAACAGAGCAGTTACATTTATCCATCTGCCTCCTGTGCTTGATGATATGTATCCTGTCTCTGTCAGACCAGATATTCCAAGATCAAGCCAGGTTACTCATCAGTGACTGAAGTTTTACTTAGCTGCTTTCTTCCAGGGAACAATCACAAGCCTTTTGCCTCTCCAAAGTGGTCCTGTAAGTGTAAAAAGTCAGCAGTTGAGGCAAGCACCTAGCCACCTGCTTCACTCAGACACTGACCCCTGCCCACCCTGGTGTCCGTTCAGTCGGGCAGCCCGTTGCAAATTAGCTCTGGCTGCTTTGAACAGCTCTGTGATTGCACACAGGATTCGAGGGAGCAGGGTTCTGGGATGTAAGGTCTGGAGAGCTCCGGTTACCGCAGGTTATGACCTGATTTTATGGACTGGATCAGGAGTCTTTTGAACTCTGTAATGCTGTTGATGGGTACTATTTAAAGTGCTAGCCAGAAGAGTAAAACACTTAACACCTGTATAATATTTCACCAGGTCTATGCTCCTTTGTGTCGTCTTTTCGTGGATTTAGTTTCTCGGTGAGGAGTTTTGAAGTGGTTTTAAGGTTACCAGAGTACTTGGAGGAGTTGCTGGAAGAATAATTGTTTTTCGCATGTGGCCTAAATCGAACCTGCACAAGCCCGATAACCAACGGGATTGCCTTTTCTGCCATAGCATTCCTCGTATAGAAGTAGTTGGTGTCTCAGCCCAACCCTCAGGAGTTACCTGAGAACGGCCAGCAGCAGCACACGATTCATCTGCTCGTGCGATGAGAGGCCTTGCTGCTTTTCTCCAGAACAAGAAAATTAAAGTGTATAACCTCGCCCGTTTAGAGTGTCTCCAGGGTAATCACAGCCTCTACAGATGCTTGAGGCTAGCCCGGTGAGAAACTGCAGTAACGTGCGGAAGCCTTTGGCGAGTTCAAGGGAGACGCTGAAACTTTTAGTGTGTTCTCTGCCAGCGCAGGCATTGACAAACCAATGGACCAAGTGCCAGATGTTTCAGGGGCAGCCTTCTAAAAAGGCAGGCAGAAATGCCATTTCCCAGATGGCAGCCAATCCATCCTGAACACCCTGCCAAAGCTACTGCTGACACTGCCGCCCCTAATTCTGGTCCCACACGAGTATGAATTGGATCACTGTCAAGTTAGTCTAGTTATAAAATGTGGCACCATTCCGCTCTGGTACAAACCAAACTGCACTTATAACCTCAGTAAGGGGTGTCAAGGCTGCAAACAACTTCCAGGGAGAATTTTCTTCCACATATTACTTTTACTACCATCCCGGTCCAGCTGCCCTTATAAAAAGCTGATAACCTCCTGGTAGCCACTTGTTTGTGTGTTTGAGCATGTGTTGATGAGGTCTGGGGAAGGTTTGTGGTTGTGGGAGGATTTCTGATGCTTTGTAGTCAAATTTGTAACAATAATGATAGAGTGAAAGGCTACAACCTAGAAAAGAAATGAAATCAAAGATGATATTTGCAGTTTGCCCAAAAATTTGGGGATGTGTATATGGAAGGAGGAATGGAGAAAGCTGGGACTAGAGGGAGATGTGAGCACGCTCTTTCCTCGTAACCTTTTTCCTGTTTCTCCAACAGGATTATCACAAAATAATAAAAAACCCCATGGACATGGGGACGATCAAGAAACGCCTGGAACATAACTATTACTGGAGTGCCAGTGAATGTATGCAGGATTTCAACACCATGTTTACAAATTGTTACATTTACAACAAGGTAAAGAATCCAGGCAAGCTTTTAGCTGGGGCACTACCTAGAAAAGACCCAACCACTACTGTTACGGTGCAGGTTTTGAGCAGGGCTAACTCTTCAGCACTGCAGACCCTCCTTGCAAGGATTTAAAATGCCACTAATTGCAACCACATTGCTGGAAATGTACAAAGCTGTCTTTGTGCTGTGTCTTTCTTCCCCCGCACTAGTTAAAATGGCAAATGTGCTCTTTAACTAAAGGTAGATTTTTGTTGTGGGATTATGTAGTGAGTTATTCAAGATTTTGGTCCTTGTGTTTTCAGTTAGGAATTCTTTCAGATTAGCTAAAGTTCACGCAGCACTTTGCAGGTGTTAAGTGGTGTATCCAACAGTAGCGATGTTTCCTACCTCTCTTAGTAGCAGAGGACAGTTCAGTAAGTAGTATAGCCGTTCTCTGCCAGTGTTTCATACTTATGTGTGCACCTTTTGATTGCTTATTATTTGTGTTTGGCTTATTTGCTATTTTGTTATGTTGTTAAAAGCCTATATTGCTTGTATTATGTTTTCTATGGTGGTTTATCATCATTGACCCATACTAGAGAAGAAGCTGAAATAAATTATTTAGTTTGAGCCACAGAGAACAGGTGTTTACACTCTTTTCTTGCATCTACTGGCAGGTAGGGGTGGATAGCTCATCTGTTCCAGTTTGCTGCTGCTTAAGCTGATAGTCGGTGTACTAGTTATCAGGGCTCCTACTGGAAGTCTTGATGCTCTTTGGATGCAGCGTGCTTGGAGGCAGTGCTATGTACATGTTAGACCATAAAGAAGAGCAGAAGGGTAGCATACAAGCAGGGAGAAGGAGATGTAGTCTGTTTATTCTCAGAGCTCGGATACCCATGCGAGTATGAATTGGATCATTTATTTGAAGAGCATTGTCGCTGAGGATTTCAAAGCCTTATCTTGAGCCTCTTTGCATCTGACATATGGATGGCATAGTACTGGCTTGTCTTCTTGTCCTTGCAGCCCACAGATGACATCGTCCTCATGGCCCAAGCCCTGGAGAAGATATTTCTGCAGAAAGTTGCCCAGATGCCTCAGGAGGAAGTTGAATTATTACCTCCAGTTCCTAAAGGCAAAGGTCGCAAGCCATCAGCGGGCGCACAGAGTGCAGGTATTAACCTGGTCCAGTGACAGTGAATGTTGCAAGTCTGTTGCTGAGGCCTGACCCACCTTCCAAGCTGCCTGACCGTGCAAATGGTGAGGAGGCTAGGAAAGGAGCGTGTAGTGTAATGGTTAGAGCAGTGGAAGAGAGTGCAAGACCTCTAGATATTGATCATCCGCTGTTTCGGGGCTTGTCTGTCTTAAGGCCCTTCTGCATATGTCATGCAAACATCTTACCATCTGTAATGTACTCATCCGCACAACGCTTCAATGAGGGAAGGCAGTGCTGTTGCTTCCCATAGGCAAAGAAGAAACCAAGGCAGGAAGAGACAAGGTAGTTAGACACCCCGGTCTACTACAGGTGACAGACCATGGTGCAGAAAGCTTCTTTGGATCTGGTTTATACCCAGAATGAGGTATGATAGACAAAAAGGATTTCTTTTGCTATGGCAAAAGGCTGTGTAGAGACTTGCGTATCAATTGAAACTAAGTTTAGTTCAGCTTAGCTTGAGCTGATTTTAAATGAGCTCAAGACTAAAACATCCTTAAGCAGGACGAAACGATTCATAAAGGAGCTTGTGTGGGCTAAATTAAATTGTTGTAAATTTTTTTTGTAAACAGGGTCTAATTGTTGCTCTGGGAGAGTCAACTGTTCCTCCTTGTTCTCCCACATCCCAGGTGCCAAATGGAGCTGCAACTTCATCCAAGCTCAGAGAAATTTGTGATGTTGTGTCTTTTCAGCATCCTTTGATTAAAAGCTGCTGTAAAAATGTAGAAGAATATTGCTACTTTGTTTATTAATTACTAATTTGACCCCCTTAACTTTGAACTAGTAAGCAATTCTTTGACAGTGAAGGCGTAGCATAAGTGACCCTTGCCTGGGTGTTAAGAGACATGAGTTGAACTCCCAGCTCCATTGGTTGTTGTTTTATAACTCTTAGTGAATCTGAAGTGTTTTGAACTCTTAGGAATCTAGCAGGCAGTAGAAGAGTGGTTGTTACCATTGGCCGTGCACAGTGAAAGCGCTCCCAGGTTGAAGTCTGTGCAGAGCAGCACCTGTGCAAAAGAATCATTTCCTTCCGTTTCCTCTCTTTACTCTGCTCTCGGCAAAGAGCAGGAGCTCAGCTTCGAGAGCAGCCAAAGAGGCGAAGACTGTTCCAGAGCAATACAGCTCATGTGCAAAGCTTGGAGTATTTTGCTTGCATGTGGCTAGCTTAAAGCTCACAGTAGAAAGACTTAGGTCAGTGATTCCTCATCTTCTTTGTGGCCCCTGGGTAACAGCACCAAGCAAATCACGCTCAGTGTCCTCCTTGCTCTTCCTGTGGCCCTAAACTGGGGTCTTTGGCCAAACCCATGGTTATACAGTCCAGCAGCAGCAGTGTCACTTTGTTCCCAATGTCTTGTCGGCTCTCGTAACCATCAGTACATTGCAGTGCGTTTTCACTTTGTCGTTTGAAAGGAGCACAGCAAGCAGTGGCCGTGTCTTCCGTCTCCCCGCCGGCCCCGTTCCAGAGCGTCCCTCCAGCCGTGTCTCAGACGCCCGTCATTGCTGCCACCCCTGTGCCAACCATCACTGCTAATGTCCCGCCTGTCACTGCCCCTCCCGCCGCTGCTCCCCCTCCGCCTGCTGCTCCGATAATGCCCGTGGTTCCTCCTACGCCACCAGTAGTCAAGGTAAACAGAACTTGACCCTTTCCTCTTGAGAAGACAATATTGCTAAGCAGTGCTTATTTTCATTCCCTCACTGCTGGTTATGTGCATTATTTCTCTTTGCATTTGAATCCTTGCCTCTCTGACCACCATTGTCCCTTTGGGATGTGCTCAGACAAGTGCTTGCCATCGAGTTTGAGTGGGTTGAGAGGAGCTGTACTGCATCCCAGCGGAGGGGATGTCAACTTTTTTAATTGCTCCACCTCAAATAAAAGCTCTCATCTGACCATAGGCTTAGCCAGTGCTGATGCTCCATGAACCAGAGCTGTCAGAGGTTTCCTCATTTTGCACCATATAGCCCAAAGCATCTCTTCTCTCTGTAACTGACCCCTTGATTTTACTGGGACTGTTTCTTTAAGATTTGTGTACTCCAGCACTAGGAATGTTCCTCTCTGCCATAGAGCAGTTCAGGGCAAGCCTGTCACTCCAGTTGGAGGAGACTGATGTTGCCTGTAGGTTCTGGATACATTAGTTCTGTCTTCATTACTGAGTAGTCGTCTGGGAGTTGTCACTGGTGTTTCACTATTTACTGTGTTAATTTATGATAAATGAAAAGATTGCTCTAAATAATTGGAATTTTCCTAGCAAGTTGTGTATTGCTTTAAAATGATGAAAGCACAGCTCAGAGGAAGATTTTTGTTTTTTAAGCTGGGAAATTAGCTGCAGCAGTATTGGTGTTCACTGACACGAGGTGGCATGGGCTAGCAGAGCCGCTGAATTTATTGTTTTGCTTAGTTAAGCCTACAGTTTGGGAATTACTAGGGAAAGTGGAAGTCAGACCTTCTTGCAGCTAAGGTCTGTCCTCCTGAGAAGACTGTCTCATTCATACCGTAGTTTCTGTCCAAATAACTTGCTTCTGAGAATCAGTTTAATCTTAAAACTCAGGGATGAACGTGTAAGTGAGTCTGCTAAATACGTGCTGCAAAACGAATCCTGCTTGAGATTTAAGAGTCCCCTTAGGTTTCCTGGGGGAACACTCCTGCCCTTTTTTTCTTCCTCTCCCTCCTCCAGAGGAATAAATCCTTTACAGGAGCCCAGGAGAGAGCTGGCTGGACAGTCACAGCTTGAATTTATGTCAGATATGTTTTACTTGCTTGAGGCAAAATCATTACATTCTTATTCTTGTTTGTAATAAGCAGTCTACCTTAGCATGTCCACGAAATACAAGGGAGTTAAGGCTCATGAGTCTTTGGTGATTAATATGCTTTGGTTCAGAACTTATAGCCTGATCCTGCCACTGGGGACTCAGACATGTGGTTAAGTTACTGACACTTACTAAGTCACCATGCATCAGCTGAGCTGCAGTAATCGACTGGGCGCACTCCTTTCCCTTGGCAAACATGAGGTAAGAGTCCTTAGTTTAAATCTCAGTGAAATACATAGAACTAACACGTTTTGCTTCATGTTTGGGGTTGGGTTGGAGACATGCAAATGCTGGTTACTGTGGCTCAGATGACGTGTAGTAATACATCGTGTTGTAGTCACTGAATTGTATGTTGAAGCTTCTAGTCACAAGTCCCATTTATCCCAGTGAAGTAATTCTATTTTCTGTCAGAGGACAGGCAGATCTCAGAAATATGGAAGATTTGTGCTAGGTTTCTGCTAGCGTAGCGTGCAACTGGGTGCATAGTTATGAAGTCTGTCTGTTTGCCCTTTCAGAAAAAGGGAGTGAAGCGAAAAGCGGACACGACCACCCCCACCACCTCTGCGATCACTGCCAGCCGAAGCGAGTCGCCTACTCCTCTCTCGGACCCCAAGCAGGCCAAAATCATCGCTCGACGGGAGAGTGGCGGCCGGCCCATCAAACCACCAAAGAAAGACCTTGAAGATGGAGAGGTTCCCCAGCATGCAGGGAAGAAGGGCAAGCTCTCTGAGCACCTCAAGTACTGTGACAGCATTCTCAAGGAGATGCTCTCGAAGAAGCATGCAGCCTATGCATGGCCCTTTTACAAGCCTGTTGATGCAGAGGCCTTGGAATTACATGACTATCATGATATTATCAAACACCCCATGGATCTCAGTACTGTTAAAGTACGTCCACGTTTACCACCTCTTTTGCAGGGTGTCACGGCCCTCTGATTGCAGAGGACTGGCTCCTTCTGGGGGAGGGGGAAGGGGGGACAAGGGTGGAAGCCCAAACCTGTTTGGGTATCATTTGGATATTTTTATGTCTTGTTGTTCCCTTCTCTTTTTACCTCGTGAAGTGGGATATCTTTTTTTTTCTTCCCTGCAATGCAGACTATACAAAGCCATCCTCTCCTCTTTGTGGATAGTCTAACTATTTAAACTCATGTTCCTGGGACTGCATTGCACTCTGAGAAGAAGAGGTGCGGTATTGCATAAGATTCAATTGCTAGTATCCCATTTCCAGAAGCTGCTGCCTACCTACTTGTTGGCATGGAGTGTGGTCCGGATAGGCTTACATTGAGCGATTCCAACTGGAACCTGATGATCGCCTGGTACTCAGGAGAGAGGAGGAAATAATATGATGCTCATTTGGTTTATGTTTGTGTCTTTAAGAGCTTAGTTTAGCATGGTTCAAAATTTAAGGTGCTTTTCCCTGTTGTCTGGGAGGTTTCCCTGAATCACTCCTGAATATCCATGGAGCCAAGCCTTGGTTTTCTAGTTCCCATCTTCTGCTTGTCAACTAGCCATTGGAATCTGTATCGGTGGAGGTGAGATTTTCTTCCGTGTGCAGAGAGTTGAGATGTTTCTGCTGGCTTTCAGTAGCATGCCAGAAGTGTTTTGTTTCAGCTGAGCCAGTGTCTGGGTTTGTCTAAAATGCCCAGGTGACACAAGGGTGACCACATTCTTGATTCTTTCCACGCTCTTTGCCTTCTTTTGTGTAGGCAAATCCTATGCAATACTTGAAAGCAGTGCATAATGCTCTGATGTGCCAGGCCATTTGGGCATGATGTTGCAGGGGTTCTTACTACAGCTGCCACATTTTAAAAAATATTTGTAGTAGTAGTTTTTAGTGGCAAGAACCGGCCAGGAGGATCTGACTCTTAATTGCCATTCTGATGCTGTGGTCCTGGGCAAGTTTCCTGCAGCTCTGTGCCTCAGTTTTTCCATCTATAACATGGGGACAGCAATACTTGACCTACCTCACAGGGCTCTTGTGAGGACAGTCGTCTGAAAGGTGCTGTCTGAGTGCTAAGCATTATTATGGATTGGGCTCATACAGATAGAACCAGCTCTGTGTTTGCAAAAGTGTTGTAAGCAGCCTGTGGTGGAGTTAAGCTTGGGCACCTTTCTTCTCCTGAGCTTGCACTGCTTTTTTTTTTTTTTTTTTTAATAAGCCAGTGCAGCATGCAGTGTTGCAACTGAGCCAAGCTGTGTTAAAGGCCTGCAGCAACTTCCTGGGAGGAGAGGAGGGAAAGAAGAATGGTGAGTTGAGCTGAAAACAAAAGGTCTTAGCTTTGGCAGGAGAAAGGGAAATAAGCGCAGGGAAGCTCTCCTGACGTGGTGGCCAGTCAAGACCAAAAGCCTGTGGGAATGGGTTCAGTGGTTTTTGGAATGTGTTGATTGTTTCAGCGGCTGTATAAAGGAGAGGAAATTTTCTAGGCAAGCAGAGGGAGCCAAAAACCGTGGTAGTAGCAGGAGAAGGGGCTGGTTGAACATGGTAGACTGGGAGACTGGAACACTGGTGGCTGGCCCTACAGTTCTGCTGATAAAGGAAGGCCCCAATGTTTTCTTGAGTAGGTTTCCATTTTCCCTTGCTCTGAGTGTGGATGATGGAGGGAGAAGTTCCCCCCTGTTTTGTGACTGTGGTGCATCTGCCATTTGGCTGATTTTGGGTAGCCAATACTGAAGGCCTACTTAGTCCTTGCACTTTTTTTTTTTAATAATGCAACTCTATGCCTTGCTGTGAAAATTCATTCACTTGGTTTTGCAGTGAAGTCACTCTTCTCCACTTAGCTTGGAGGTCCATCTGCATGGCCTAGATCACGGGATCATATGATAGGTAATTCAGGTTGGAAGGGACCTCAGGAGGGGTCAGCTCATACATTCTAATCTGGTCCCTTCCAAAAGTCACTAGCTTGAGCGGCTTTGCTGGGAGAAAGGCCGGGCCCAGTGACTGGCTATGAGCAATAACAGGTCGTAAGTGGGATTGCCAGTATTATTCTGTATGTCAGAGCAGAGGTGCAGTACTTAAGTGCCATTGAGTACCTTGAGGTATGGTGCTCTGTATGCTGTGCACACAGTTATGTCTGCCTATACTTACTGTAGGCTACATGTCAAAATCAGTTCTAAGAGTCTGTGAACTGTCCAGTAGTTTTAATGGAGTTTCAAAGACATCTGTTTTCCAGTAATGACTGAAATGGGAAGAAGTGTCTCTTGATCAGTGCAATTGCTCTTTTCATTATCAGATTAGAGGGATGGACGGTTATTGATAGCCTTTTCTCTACTAGTCCTGTGAAAACAAGTCATTAGATGGCCACGTCTTAAATGAACTCACTCAGTTATGGATCTGCTTTCAGTGAGACTGCTGGTGACCCTAGTCCTTTCAGACCTATTCTCAGCTCATTCACATCTCCTTGACTACATTAGGATGCTGTGGGTCTCTCCAGAGATACCTAGCAGCCTGCTGGATCACCCCCTGTGGACCTTGAGAGTGAAAACTAGACTCTGTCCAAGCTGATATGTCCTTTGATTTCATCAAGGCCTTGTCCAGAGATATTGTGGAACCCAGATACTTTTTCTGCACAAATACTAGTGCCGTATACACATTCCTTAGTGGATAAGAGAATGAACCTCAAGCACTTGAGTCTGGATAACTTTTTACCTGGGAGCGCTCATTCAGCATGTGTAAGCCTTTCTTTGAGCTCTATGTCAAGGGATAGAGGACTGAATATCTTGCTGTTCCTCAGCGCTTAGTCGCCTTGATTCAAGATGGACTTTTGACAAACTGGACAAACCTAGGATATCCTAAAGTTAAGCACCTGAGTTATCCCTCAGCATCTCTTCTCCTGGATACTCCTGTTAGATCCAGTATTCCTATGGCAATTTCTGCTCAGGCATCAGCAAATTTAATACCGTAACTTCGCTGTAGAAGCTCATTGTACCTTCAGCAACCTGTTGTCATCTTGTCTGCTGCACCAGTGTAACATCTCTACTGATAGCATTTTAGTCCAAAGCACTGAGCAACTTGATGGTCCAACTGAAATAACACTCTGTACTAACTCTCCTGGCTCTGCCAGCACCTAGTTGTGGATTCATCAGCTCTACCAGATCCAGTCAAGGAACCAGCCGTGCCTACACATTTGTCAGTACAGCTAATGAAGTTCTTTCCATCAGTCTCTTCCTTCAGCTCTGAAACCATCTACCTCTTCATATCCTATTGTGTGTCCCAGAGAAGTCCTTTGCAGGGCTGTGTTGCACATCTAAGCTGCTATTTTTTTTATCTCTACTTTGTAACTCAGTGTTGCTTTCTTCTTAATATGGCTGTGCTGGTGGTTTGAGTTACCCCAGGACAGGTCCCGAATGGCCCAGATAGGATTTTTAGTGGCTTCATTGTTGCATGCTGCTTCCTGATTCGTGTTCACATCCTTCCCTCTGGAAGGAGAGGATTTACCTTGCCGTGAAGAAAATGTTTCCAGGATCTGACTTCCATGATAGAAGAGCCACCTTGTCCTGGCCTGTAGTGTCAACCTTCAGCCCACACACAGACAGTTTTAGAGACTTGAAGGCCTTTGTAAGGTAGGTGACCCAAGCTCTGCAAATTCCTGTGAAGGCTACTCAGGAGCCCAATCATAGATAAGATACAGTAACCTGCATTTAATAGGGGAGCCTTCCTTCTCTATGCAGTAAGGTCTCCTGCAAGAATGATAGAGCCCTGTCACCGCAGCCACACAAAGAGTATCACAATGACTTCCACCTTAGTAACGTTGTTTTACACTTTCCCGACATATCTTTAGTCTCTGCTGCTGAGAAAAAGATCAGGTAGTTTCAGTAGGACCCCAGAAACAATGTTCTGAAAAGAATCGTACCCTTCTGCTAGGTACTCTTATGAGTTGCTACTACTACTCCTTGAAGCTTCGCATCACTTACTGGCAGACTGCCAGCGGACTCGAGAAGAACGTGCGCTGTTGGTAAGGACAGTTGATAACCCAAGACTTCATTTCAGGCTTCTTAGTGCACAGCACAGTAGTTGCTACAGGCCACAAGATGTTTTGGTTCTGACTTTCACAGGCAGGTATCAAAGACACAGAGGACTTTCCCTTTGGAGTTGCAGAATTCTTCAGCTCATTGTCCTACTGGGGACATGAGAACTAGGTCTCTTTTGAAGGATTTTACACCTGTCTTGAAGAGGAAATATAAATATGGGCCATGTTCTAGCCAGAGGCCCTTCTGCTGTTCCACCAGATCCCAGATCAGTCCTGTCCTCACAGATTGCCTTGATGTTTGCAATTGTCAAGACACCTGCCTGGAGTTCTGTGCATGGAATGGTGGTGTTACACTGTTGCTTCTGGGATGGATTTTGCTGTTAGCAAGGCAGTCCTCCAGTTATGGCCCACTTGGGACTCTAAGACCAAACTCCAGCTATATTATAATCACATAACATAGACTATGCGTTTGCACAACAATCTGAAGAAGTTACCTCCCATGAACTGAAGTCCCTCAAGCTGTGTTGTCCATCTATACTTTCTGCATCCTGTCTTCCTTTCCTCTAAGTTGCACTGCTCTGGGATTTTATGACTAAGAGGAAAGAGCAGGAAATATATACACCATCCCTATCAGCAAATGCAAAGACAATATGAGAAATGCAGAAGCTAAAAGCTGCTGAGATCAAGTTTACATGTGTTCTAGCAGAGGAATGTGCATATGAATAATGTATTTTTGAGATGTGGTTTGGTGGCTTCTCTTTGGAAAGGATTCTGTGCTGTATTCTGCAGAATATACATGCAATGCTGTGATTCCTTGGATTGCCGCCTTCTTCACACTTGAATCTCTTTAGTCCTAATTTTACTCTTTTGAAAAGCATAGATCTCTGATGGCACTTTTTCTGCAAGTGTGGGTGACATTTTCCTTCTGTACTTTAGTAGCATAGGACAGAAAGCTGGAGACAAATTAGTGGCAGAGCCAGTAGAGTCTTTTATATGTAAAGACTCTGGATTTGTCTTTCCACCTGGTAGATTTTTGTCTTAATAAACTTGTTTGAAGTGCTGTCTGGTATTGTTTTTTTTATGAAGTGTTTTATTGTCTTTACTCTTGGCCTGTAGATAATAGCATGGCTTCTCTGAGATGCAGTATATAATACGTGAAGCGCATGGAACAGAAACCTACTGTTTGTAAGCAGTGTTATTCTGCAGTGTGAGGTGGCTTTCTCTGTGGCTCTGAAAGGTTTTAGATTTAATTCTGCACAAGTGACAATGGCTGTGGTAAAGTGATACAACTAATGGCCTTCAAACTAATCTTGAATGAATTATGTAAGAAAGTAAAGCATAAACATCACTGTAGCTAAAACAGATTCCACAATACCTGATTGCTTTGTCACTTTAGTTCTCTGGTTATATGAGGCTTGATTTTTCTTCGGGGAATATCCTTCATATGTAGGAGCATTTTTCTCGAGCTGTGCAGCAAGCAAAGGTGTGCTGCAGAAGGATTTGGAGATTGTTTTCTCCAAGTGCATGGTGGAGGAGGCAGGTTGGTGGTCATGGCTGTCTGTGGCAGGTGAGAGGTTGAGGAGCTACAGCTGATTTCTGGGCTTCTGGCAAAAGGGAACGAAGGGCTGTGATGAAGTGCTGTGTTGGAGCTAGGGCTGAGGGAGAAGTCTCCAGGGGTTTGTTATCGACGAGCACAGCTCCACGCAAGTGCTCTGATAGTCGTCACAGGGAGGAGAAAAAAAAGAGCAAAACTGGAGCAGGGAGAGGGAAGGATGAAAGCAGCGGGAGGAGAGAGGGAGACGGGCATGGATTGCCCTGTAAGTACTCCGAGGCAGCAGCCCTGCTTCCCCTTGGTAGGCAAAACGCTTGCTGTGACCGTGGCCCCTTTAGCAGCGTTGCACTTCCGCTGCCCTGAGCAAGGGCAGCCAGGGACTGATTGTCGTATGCCGAGGTGCAGCTCGCAGCACGTCTTCCAGCTCTTTCCTCTGGCTGCTGGGTCATAGCAGCAGCAATATAGATGTCTCTGCCTTTTATTTATACAGCAGTGAACAAGCAGCAGTCCTCACTGTGTAAGAGGATTTATATGAAGTGTTTACTTTTGGAATAAAGCACTACCTCCAGGGATATAAATATGCTAGTCAGTTAATTTTCTTGCAGTGAATTGCTGTGGTTTCAGAGCAGCTGAGTCTGGGGTTTTTAAAGTAAGGAGACATTCTTTCAGGGAATTTTTAAAGATGTCTTTAATTGCACCTATTCTAGAGGATTTCTGAGGTAAGAGAAAAGGAGCTTCACAAAGCAGCTGCTCTTGTCGAGGCAGTTTCTGTAAGGTGCAATTAGGCCCCGAGAAATCCAGGCTGAGCCCTCCCTAGCTGAGGGAGATGGTGTTTTCTCTGCTGCGGTCGTTCGAACTATCTGGCCTCGGCCCTCGCCAGCACCTGCCCTACGGCCTGCAAGCCATGCCGCGTGGCTGCCCCGGCCTCGTGTCCTCCCACTCTGAATGTAAAAACATGCTGGGACTCCAGGCCAGGGAGCGGAAAGCAGGAACGCGGGCACTGAATGACAAATCATTTGGGGCCGACATCTTTGTTAAGAGTTATGGGAAGTGCAATGGCAGGTTCAGAAATCATGCTTTTTAAGGACGGGTGGATGGAACCGAGGCAATTTAGTCTTGAGAAGAGAAGATGGAAGGGAGACATGTTTGAAGACCTAACATGTAAAAAGAGTGCCGTAAAACGGGAGGCAGTGAGTTTTCTCTGCGTCCGCCGTGTGCAGGACAGAACATAGCTTAGAGCAAGAGCCACGTTAAACGCTAGGACACAGGCTCCTGAACATTAATGATTGTTAAACAGTAGAATTGGCTGCTGAGTGAAAAATGAGATTGCTGTGGTAGGAGTTGAGCGGGGCAGAGCATGGCCTAGCGGGCCTCCCAGCACCCCTTCCGCTCCTGCTGTTTATGACTCCCAGATTTGCGATTGTAAATGCAACCTAGTTTTTTAAGCAGCTGAATATTTCAAAGTGAATTTGTAACCCAGAGGTATTCCACCCCGTCAATTTAAAGTCTTTTCTTTCTTTTGTCAGGTTAATTTTCCTTTACAAGAAAACAACAAGAAAAAATCCGCAGATCAAAATGCTTTGGGGCTAGAGAAAAATGTTGGTTTTGGATGAAAGTGAAGCCTTAGACACTGAAATGTACTCTGTAGGCTATAATCAGCTATTGAGCATGCCAAACAAATACAAGCGCATCAAAAAAGCCTTTCATGCAATAAGACATATTTTAAAATAAATGGACCCTTTCGTTTGAACATACTGCTTGGCTTTGGAATTGGCCTGAAACACTTTTCAAACAAGGCCAGCTCTCCTTCAGACTGGAGGAGCACAAATCTATTCCCTTTCCATCTCTGTGCTGCAGCTCTGAGGCTTTCTCCTAGTTTTTTGCCAAGAGAACGAGGTCTCATGACAGAAGTTTGACAGCAGTTTGGCTGCACCAAAGCAGGGAGCGCTGCAGAAATGTCATCACCCTGCCTGCAGGTCCTGCTGCAGCTACCTCACTGGAGGTGAAGTTCTGCCCCATTCTTCAGAACAAAATCACTTCTGGGAGCCATTTCAGTACTCTCCCTTAAGGTAGTTAAAAGGTCTAACGGGTAGCTGTGAAGTGCAACATAAGGAAAAACTTCTTTACTGTGACTGAGCATTGGAACAGGTTGCCCAGAGAGGCTGTGGAGTCCCCATCCTTGGAGACACTCAAAAGCCATCTGGGCATGGTCCTGGGCAACCTGCTCTAGGTGACCCTGCTGGAGCAGAGGGGTTGGACTAGATGATCTCTAAACGTCCTTTCCAACCTCAACCGTTCTGTGATCTCTAGCTTCCACTGAACAGGAATTTGGCTTGTGTTGAGACATCTAGTCTGGGTTACAGACCCTAAGCACCCCTGCTCTGCCCTGGAAACATCTACAGCCTGTCTGCCAGGCAGCCCCTTCACTTCATACAGGTGCATTAGAGATGCAAAAGGGAGCCTGCACACATTTGGCAAATAGAGTATTTCTTTAAACCCGGATCTTTTAAATGCAAATGAAATATAATGTTAGCTTTTTTTAAAAAAACTCCCTTTGGTAGGAGTAATTGAAGTTAAGGCTTTATGCATAATAGTAATATATGCGTAAAATCAGTTAAGCTCTGGGAACGCTGTAAACTGTTCTCTAAACCCCAGTCATTCAGTCCCAAAGAGCAAGAGAAACGGATGAAGATGAGAGCTAGAAAACAGGAGAAAGAACCCAGGCGCAAATATTTAACTCCTGCTATTCATTCTCATTGCATTACCAAATAGCATTAGGAACAGCTTCCTAAAGGGTGAATTCTGTATCCATTCTCTATCAACTGGACTTTTTAAATTGGGAGTGGATGCTGTAGCTTAACCGTAAGTGCCTAGTCTTGCTGTGGGAATTACCAAGCGAAACTCATGCCCTGCGTTAGCAGGAGGTCAGGGTAGATGGTCATGATATTTCCTGCTCTTTGAGATCTGCAGAGGTGAAAGAAAAATACCCAAATAACACGTAGAAATATACACGTAAGGCACTAATATAATTGTAACTTGGTTGTTTATTGACTTCCACCCTTCTGCCAGCTCATCCGTGTTCCTTGCTTACATTAGTTTCTGAGCCAGCAAAGCGTTGTTCTGAAGTGACTCTCTGGATGCCGTTTAGATTTTTCTAATAGAACATGGACCCAGGCAAACTTCTGTAGTACACTATTAAGGAAAAAAAAAAAAAAAAGAGTTGAAACTATTGTGAAATAATATCAACACCTCTGGTTATCTTTATTTCCTAAATCATATTTAGAATTTTTGCTAAAAATGAGCCTGATCAAACTACTGTTCTCTTAGCTTTGAAAAATCACATTTGTCTGTTCTGAGCTCTCTGCATGATGTTCATGCCTCCATGTAGTTGCTACAAATGCTTTTTGCTTATGACTTTTTCTCCCCTTCCCCTTTGGCTTGTTTGCAGAAAAAAATGGACAGTCGAGAATACCAGGATGCACAAGGTTTTGCAGCAGATATTCGGTTAATGTTCTCTAATTGTTACAAGTACAATCCTCCAGACCACGAAGTGGTAGCCATGGCCAGGAAGCTCCAGGTAAAGGTGTTGTCAAATGCATCTTTCAGAGTACGCTTAGTTTTGCTGTAAGGGGGACTATTCGGAGCTCTGAGCATGGCTCTGTCCTCAGCACCAGCAAGGGAGATCCTGTGATTCCTCCAGCCCTTGGAAGGAACCCAGGAACCCCATCTGATGATCTCTGCTGCAGAACCACAGTGCTCTTCGTATGGCAAGGCCCCAAGCCATATTCCACTCCAAAAACGTTTTAGTTGTTGCCGTGTAAAGTAATAGCAGAATTTCCTTGGGCTTACAGAATCTACTCCTCTGTGCGCACACCTTGAAGAGCTGGGAGAAATTGTGCAAACTGAAAACAGTGCCAGCCATGCACAATCCTAGAGCCAGTGCCTAAGCCTGTTGGTAGGGTATTCTGGCGTTGAGGCCAGCTGTGCTGTCGGCATCTGAAGGCTGGGATTCCTCTCTGACCTTTGTGCAAGAGCTAAAGACAAGCTCAGGGATCTCTTGGTGTTGAGCAGAGGAGCAGCAGAAAGCGAGGCAAACCCAGAGGGAAGTGAACTAGAACTGCCAGAATGGATCACGCCTATGGTCCCTTTAGACCCGTGCCTGTCTCTGGCAGTAGCTAGTGCAGGGAAAATGAAAAAGCCTTCCAGGAGGCAGGGGTGTGAGAGCCCGTCACCCTCCCACAACCTTCCTATCCCAAAAAGGATCCGAAAGGGAGATTGAGAAAACTTTTAGTCTAGTCCTAACCCGCTACAAGCCTTTCATTTCCTCCTTCAAGAGAGGAGTAGCCCTCTCTTACCATGACGATTTCAACCCCTGCTCTAGAGTGCTTATCTTCATTATTTATTTGTACAGCACCTTGCACAATGAAGTAAGACCTTTACCTATGGTGGGGTGTCTAGTAGTTTTAGAAGCCGGAGTTAGGGCTTTGTGGCTGAGGCTTCTGTTGCCAACAGTTTTTCCCCCTTTTTGTAGGATGTCTTTGAGATGAGGTTTGCAAAGATGCCCGATGAGCCTGCAGAGGCCCCACCTCCACCTCCCCCAACAGCACCAGTGGTGAGCAAAAGCACAGAGAGCAGTCACAGCAGCGAGGAAAGCTCCTCCGACTCGGATAGCTCCGACTCAGAAGAAGAGCGAGCGACTCGGCTAGCAGAGCTCCAGGAGCAGGTGAAGTGGCCCAGTTGTGTGTCTGCGTGTGCATACCTGGGTGGTGGAAAGAACTTAGCAGGAAGAAGGGTCTAATTCTTTTCTTAAAAACCCACCTAGGCTGAGATGCAGCAAAGCAATCTCCCCTTCTGCCAGCTCAAAGGAAAAAAAAAACTCTCAGATATGAAAAATGCATTTTTTTGACATTATGTTAATTTTCTTTGGCATAGCCGTTCTTGGTGCTGATGCTCTGTGCTTCCTTCTGGGATCCTAAAGTACTTGGCTGTCATGAATGAAGGTGCACAGTGTACTAGAGATCTGGGAAGAACTGAGACGCCCATTTTATGTGGGGGAGAGTTCAGGCACAACAAAATCTGCCACAAGTTTCCTGTGGTCTGTTGTCCCCCTGTTCCCTGTCTATGATAGTGAGCTGTTTTGACTGATGTGGTTGTCAACCCATAAGCCAGGGGCTTTTTTTTATTATGCAGATATACAATGCCAAATGTGGCAGTGTGTGTTTGTGCTACTATAATATGACAAAATGTTAATAAAATGGCTTACTTGGTATCCCAAAGCAAGCCAGTAGGAGAGCTGAGAAGAGAACCCAGGATTCTGGAGTGCAGGTTGTTGGCACTCTGAAGCTATGTTGACTTAACTCTTGTTATTCGGGGCAAATAAAAATTAAGTTTTCCCTTGGGAGTCAACTTCTGCAGACTTGTACTACAGTTTTTAAAGAATGATTTCAAATCAAGCAAAGTCACCTGGGTTCAATCAGTTGACTGTGCTGTGATCATTAACTTTGTCTGTGATCGTTAACTTTGGGATGTACTTGCGTGGGATGCAGAGGAAGGGTATCTGGAGGTGGGGAGGCATCAGTTATCTTTACCTTGAAGTCTGATTTATTTTTTCACTGTTCTCCACCAGCTAAAAGCTGTCCATGAGCAGCTAGCTGCATTGTCACAAGCGCCGGTGAACAAACCAAAGAAAAAAAAAGAGAAGAAAGAAAAAGAGAAGAAAAAGAAAGACAAAGAGAAGGAAAAAGAGAAGCACAAAGTAAAAGCTGAGGAGGAGAAGAAACCCAAGGTGGCTCAACCACCAAAACAAACCCAGCAGAAGAAAGCCCCAGCTAAAAAAGCAAACAGCACGACCACAGCTAACAGGTGAGAGCTTGCCTCCTGCTAGGTGCCTCAGGTGGGAATGTCAAGAGCTTTCATCTCTGTTCTCCTATCCCTCCTGTTCCCATTGAATACCCTGGTGAAGCTCAGTTGTCAGAGCAGTTAATTAACCATTGAATAGCGTCCCCATTCTTAGGCATCTCCAGGGAGCTTTTAAATTGGAGCTGGCAGTGGAGCCGTCATATTTCCTCTGTCTGACTCCCGAGAGCGATCAGGCAGGGATTCTGAGATAAGGTTTTGCCTTTTGTCCAGCCAGCAAGAACGTGCTATTTCATTGCTGCCCCCCTGCTGCTACTTGGGCTTGTTGTCATGCCTCAAAGGGCCAAAATAAAATAGGAATGGAACAGTTGATCTCAGACTTCTGAACTTTTTCAGAAGTCCTGGTGCTGTTCAAACCATCTGGCTAGAAGTTCAAAGTCAAAAGCATTGGGATGTTTGTTGCAAGGGGAGTAGAAGAGTTCATTGCTCCTATATACCCACGAATGTTTCCATGCTTGCCAACCTTCCAGGCAGCCCAAGAAAGGAGGCAAACAGGCTTCTGCTACCTATGATTCCGACGAGGAGGAGGAAGGTCTGCCCATGACCTATGATGAGAAACGACAGCTCAGCTTGGACATCAACCGCCTGCCTGGAGAGAAGCTGGGCAGGGTGGTGCACATCATCCAGTCGCGGGAACCTTCCCTCAGGGACTCCAACCCCGACGAGATAGAAATAGATTTTGAAACATTGAAGCCCACAACGTTACGAGAACTGGAGAGATATGTGAAATCTTGTTTACAGAAAAAACAAAGGAAACCATTTTGTAAGTTACCTCCTGGGGCACGTGTTCCCCCACCAGCTCTTAGGCTCAGCTTTGGAGTCTGGGCATGTGTGTTGGGATTCTCTTATCCAGCTGTTGAGTATGTGATGACAGGGATTTTTAGAGATTCTTTTCTCCCAAAGGAAATATGCAAAAACTTTCTATTTTTTTTTCTTTTTTTCTTCCCATGATGTCATCCCATGGAGACTTGGAGGGACTTCCCTGTTCCTCTGCAAGACCTGTGTGATGTCTTTATTGCTTATCTAGGATCTGGAAGGCACTATAGAGGTTTCAGTCTCATTCTATATTAGGTGTTATGTGCACACAGCTGGAAGGATCAGTTTCTTATCCTGAATAGTTTATCTTCTAATTAGGAAGGAAATGAAAAGCAGGGTTGGAACACAGAGCACCAAGGGAATAAATGACTTGCACAAAGTCACCTGGGGTAACCTGTGAGTTCTGAATGTAAGTGTCTGAGTTATGTGCTGGCTCCAAAACTGCTCTTTCTAGCTGGCCTGAACACACCACGTTATCCTTATTCTCTGTCAAATCAGAGAGTAAATGTTAGTGTGCTGGCAAGTGTATGGTACAGGCTTTTCTCTGTGCCTCTTTCACAGATGCAGCCCCTTGAGAATTTAGCTCTGGCTAAATAACAATAGTGCGCCACTTACCTAGAGTGGTCTTGACTCTGTCCATCCACTTGTCAGTTGAGAGTGGTCCTGTTAAAAGTATAACATGATAGCTACTCTCAGCTCTTGCAGAGCACCTCTGTTTCATTACCACAGGACTTTCCGGTAGGCCTAAGAAGAGGTCACGCTTTGACCCTTCTTTTTACTTTTTAGTATACTGGTTTGACTTTTTTTTCTGGAGTTCTTCACTGCTGGTATAGTTCAGGAAAAGATTTCCCAGAGTTGTTAGGAATGGGAAAGCGTTCTTTTATTTTGGAACCAAAGCCTGGAGTAACACAGATAACCTCAGATGCACGTCCTCCTGCTCCTCTGAGACTGGTACACCCCGCGCTGGCAGGCTGGCGTTGTCTGGACTGCAGATACTGTGCTAACACCTGGCAACAACCGGACTCCCCTGCTCTCTGCTGCTTATTGAAACGCTCGTGTTCAGGGGCACACCCTCTTAAAGTGTGCTTTCCAGATTTTTTTTTTTTAAATCAGTACTTAGAACAGTACGCAGAAATGTAGTTATTTCCTTGCTGGATCAGGCAAAACATCAGGCATTTGTCTTGCTCCTGATGCTGGCCAACACCTGTGTTCATTTATCCCTCCTGGGGGGGATTTCCTCTGTTCAGAAGTGTGAGTAAGGTTGATATTTCTTACCATTTCCAATGCAACTGATACAGCTACATTCCTGTCATCTGCTAGCTTTTGGTACTGTCAGTTTTTAATTTGTTTTGTTTTATATTTAAAGCAACATAACAAAACACAATTTGATTCTTGCATAAGATTTCTTAAGTTTTAATGGCAGATGCTTACCTCTGATGACCTTTAATGGGACACTTTATTTTACAGGGCAGAAAACCCATGTAACAATTCTGTAATTACAAATGTGTAACTATTGACCATATAACTGGCTGGTAAGTAACCTGTAACTACAAGGTTATTACATGGATATTTCTATCTTCTAAAATACCTTGCAGAAGGTCTCTTTTAAAAAGTGCATGTTACAGGATTGATGGTGATTGGATGATCTAGACAACTTTTGTGTGTTGTCCTCTATCTGGGATGTGGAGTTGCTGTGTGGTCACTTGGTTTTAGCAGTGTCACTGCGGAGTGGTCGCACAAATTTACGTGCCCTGTAAAATAGTGATGTCCACTCTTTTTCCCCTACGACCATGCAGTTTCAGAAATTATGCGTTCCTCCTCCACAGCTGCAAGTGGAAAAAAGCAAGCAGCAAAGTCTAAAGAAGAGTTAGCTCAGGAAAAGAAGAAAGAACTAGAAAAACGGTTACAGGATGTCAGCGGGCAGCTAAACAACAACAAGAAACCTGCAAAGAAAGGTAATGGTTCTGGTTTTACTGCTCTGATGATGCCCGAAGAGTTGTGGCTGTAGGCAGAAGCAGAGGATGGATAGAGGCAGGTAATCTTCAGACAGAAGGATCTAGTTTGGAAGAAGAAGGAGGCAGCAGGAGCCAGAAGAGTTTTGGTCGCTGTGGCAAAATTATTGTCTTCTGTTAGCCTTGGGTTTATCTCGTTGAGAGTTACCCCAGTTTAACATTACAGCGTGGGCACAGAGTGAGTTGCTGCCAGGTGCCCGAGGTCACAGGGAGTTGCAGCCTGAGAAAAGGTTTGCAGGAGAGCTCGCTGTCTGCTGAGGGGGCAACAAGCCTTAGGCCGGCAAGCGAAGGCCGCGGGTAAATAAGCTGCCTGCTGGAAGGGGGCCGGGAGCGAAGCTGCGGCCGATGAAGGCTGTGGCAGGACATGCCCTGGCACAGTCTGCGGAGGGCCAGAGCCGGAGAAGCAAACTGTGGGTAGTTTATGATCTTGCAAATAACTGCTGCGCTCGCTGCCTTCTTCCCCGCAGAGAAATCCGGCTCCGCTCCCTCTGGAGGCCCTTCCCGGCTCAGCAGCAGCAGCTCCTCGGAGGCCGGGAGCAGCAGCTCC